TGGCTACAGCCACACTTTGACATATAAATCTGAGCTGATCTGTGTGTGCCGAGAAGGCACTCCTTTCCCCAGCATTCCTGGGCATCAAGCTTTATAATATAGTACAAAATACAAATCCACGAGTACAATACGTGACTGGTAGTAATAGTGGTATGAATGCAGCTTACTGCCAAGACCAAGCGTGACTTCTCAGTCAGGGAGGGGTAAAAATTTTATCCCTCCATGGGGGCAAGTTTCAACAATTCCTTTTGTTATTTTAGAACCAACACTCTCCACCCCAGCAAAACCTTATTTGTCATATAAATATCACAATAAAAAATTGAGCTTTCAGTCCTTATGAACAAACAGTCCTTCAGGCATAGCAAGGTGTACTGCACAGCCTGCACCATGAGTAGGATGCTTTAAGTGACATATCATGTCTTCAGTCTGTGACATAAAGCTGACACATTTGATACAGGTCCTCAATACTGCTTTCTACTTGCTTCAGAGGAAAAGGGATCAATACCTCGGTATCTGGCTCTTCACAAAAGTTAAAACCCTTTACGCTACCTCTCCATCTCTCCTTTCTTCAGTTACATGATGAAATGAAAAGATTAAACTCTCCGATTTTTACCTACCTCAGTTCCAGATGGAGAGAAGCTTCTGCTTTCTTCCTCTTAAACACCTGGAATTTTACATAATTCAAGTCATAATCCTGCCCTGCCCTTTTTGATCAAAAAGGTGTATGAACATTGGTTGGAAGTCTCATATGTTGAGCTGCTCCAGATCTCCTACTTGAATAGGCTTCTGCTCATATGCGCACAGTAGAACAGGTCTGCTGAACTGCAGCTGGAAATGTCAGTTCAAAATGAACATACACAATTTATTCTCGCTATTACAGAACAAGTAGTTAAACAGCTGGAAGAATACAATAGATGATAAACACACTAATGGTGAACATGCATTCTGTTTACTCCTTTGTCACAAATTATTAGTATCACTTTATGAATAGATATATTATCTATACACTTCAAGAAACATACCTGTACACAGCCAATACTTAATAAAGAAAGTAAGGTTCTCCTTTAATAAAACAGTGAAACAAATGAAAGCTACACCTATTTCTTCCAAGTCATCACCACTGAAAACAAATTATGAAAAAACTTCCCCATCCTGTTTGTAAATACTAAGCTTGATTTTCAAAGTTAGGCACTAATCCAAAGAAACACACCAATATGGAACAAAAATACTTGTGACATATCCAAACATTGTGTAAGTGGCATATGTCTTCTAAAATGATAGTATGTGATTCACAGACTTGCATGGAAGAGCCATCTCATACAATGAATATGGGTAACAACTGAAAATATTCGTACTGTTAGTACTCACACGCTTTCAGCCATACATGTAAAGAGGCTGTATGTACATGTGAAAGAGCTCTGAATACTGCGTATTTGTGAACCCAGGTTAGCTGAAAGCTGGCAAGACAGAGGTAACTATCTGTGGATATTAGTCTTTCCTTTTATCCCCAGAGAATTATAAAAAAATGAACCTATGCTACTAGGAATTGCTAGTTTGGGGATTTCTTCTTTTATTTTCTTGTTCCTTTGCTATTCTTCATCCACACCTTTCAGTAAAGGCATTCTTTATATTTGAACATAAAATCTTGATTTCAGCACAGAACTGAAATAATCACATGTGAGATAAAGGAAAGACAATCTGGACTGAAGAAAAATAAGTAGGTTATAAAAAGTGAAAAGCTAAACATTCAGTAGTGAGAGGTACATTGACATATACATTGATACCTCTTCCTCTTTTTACTTAAGTTTGGACAGAACACAGTCTGCTACAGTCTTTCGTGCTTTTCCTATTACGGGCTATCCTTAGAACCATTCATTTGGCACTGTCCCTGGAAAACACTACACCTTGACAAGTCAACAGAAATGTCATTAGTAAAAATTTGTGAAGGAGGGGAGAGGAGGGAGTCACACGCATGACAACACAAACATGAGCTACACCTCTGTGTACTGCAGCAACCAAGTACAGCAAAAATTTTGGCTCTAATGTTTTTGCTTCAAGGAAATCGCTATGATCCAGAATAACAACGGTAAATTAAAATTAGAAACTGAATTTAGTAATAATTTTTTTTATAGGAACTCTGAGATTCTTTTCAAAGACAAACTAGTTTTCCTTTCTTTTTTAAACTTATTCAAAACTGGTGAGTGACAATTCTCTTCCCCATTCTGGCCTTCCTGACTGAAGACGGTTATTTTTTCCCCCCCGACTGCTATTCCTTACTGTCTTGGAAGCTTCTTAAAACTGTCAGGAACTTGATGATATTATCAGACTGGCTTAGCATTAAGTCTTAACAGTAGAAAAATTAAATCATGATTAGGTAAATATAAACAAATCAAACTCAGCTCCAGTTTCAACTGATGTATCTGCCTGCCTGCTAATCTACAATCAAATTTTAAGTAGACGCTTTGGCCTTTTTGCAAGACACTACAATTTGTTTAATATACGCATCATGTAGGCTGTAAGCCTGAGTCTGCTAGATAGCTCTTGCACTTCTCTTAAGTTCAGAATTTTCTACTGCGAACATACGTATGAAAGTGAACTGAGAGTCCAATCCCAGAACCCACTGTATCTGCACCAAGCTGTACAAAGCTAGCAATAAGCCAGTATAAATAGATGAATGTAGGTTCTCTTAACAGAAGGGAATTATGCAATCCCTCCACATGGGCCCATTTTCAGTAGGCTGTGAAGTACATTAAAAATGTCAGATTCGATCTTAAATACTCAGAAAACAAGGAACGTAATTTTGATGGTGTGCAAACTAATTAGTTATATAAATAATATATGGGTGCCTGTATCATCCATTTGTACTCTTCTTCCTATCTCTAGTCTCTTGTCTTAAAAGCTTGTGATTGGGCAGCAAAGTAGAAATGCCTTTTTTGAATAGCCCTGCCAGCCATATATTTGATTAGCTTGAATTTTCTAAAGGAAAGACGGATTGCTCTTTCTGTGGACAACTAAACACTATCAGTAAGGCAGGGCAATGAGAAAGTGGGAAAGATACAGCAAGTGGGGAGCCCGGAGCATAAATGGAAACTGCCACTCACGGAAATCTCCCAGGAAAAGCAAAGAGCAAAAACTATTGAAATTTACTGGACCAACACCACGGGAAAAAAAAATCCATTCTAAAAAGAACACAAAGCACGGACAGATGATTTACTTATGGACCTTATTTAAACCTTCTTCAATAGTTCCTTAAAAACTTTCAGTGGTCTACTTTAATTTCTCTTGCTTAGATACAGAATCTTTTCAGTGGTTTTTACCCACTTATAGGATAACGTTCTGCAGTTCTGCCTTAAGATCCTGATCAATTTGAGGTTCCATCATTATAAGGGAGAACTAAATTTATTCCCAGGTGTTTTTTATAAATATGAAGCTAAACCAAGCATAGGATGCACTTAGAGAAGAAAGACTTCAATAAAACAGGTTTCATACTCAGTTCTGCAGGAGTCTACTGATCATTACCAATAATCAGCATTAACAGAATCCCAAATCAATTCTTCAGCCTAGAAAAAGTAAGCGTTCATGCCACTACAACTGAAGAACTTCCCCGCACTGCTTTGTTTGAGGAGCAAAGCACAGAAGATGAGCTACAAATTATGTCACACAGCATTTGAAGGAGGAAGAAAAGGAAAATACCTCATCTCCCACTGAGAGGGAGTTGCTTTTATTAAAAAAATTCACCAAATAATCTGTTACAAGTATTAATAAATTCTAGCACGTCCAGTAGCAAATTCACAGTTATACAGCAGAGAATCAACACAGCCTTTTGAAATAGTTAGCTATATATAATCAAACAAAAATTATCAGAAACTAAGTGAAGAATTTTTTTCTCCACGCTATAAAAGTGTTTTTTTTAAAAATGACAAGCAACAGATTCTGTTCAGTAGCCCTCAACATTACTGTGAGTTCTGCTTAAATTACGTGTGGGTTAGGAGTATGGATGCCATCCCTAGAGAGTCTTTAAAAAGCCGATCAGATAATACTGCACAATGCTCTCACACTTAACATTATTCCAGAATTATGTCACTGTGGCCGGCTGAACTCTGTTCTATATTTATGAAGCGTGAGTCAGTTCCACTGATCAAAAACTGTAATGATTTCTACTATCCAGTGGACCCTACCCAGGACAAAACAAAACACAGAAGTTTAATACAGAGGATCAAAATAAAAAATTATGACTTCTGAACAGCACTGCACACACTAAATCATTCATGACTGACATTTTTCTATTCCTTTAGCATCAAGTTTGTAATGCTTAGGATACTTTGTGAAATATAATACTCAACATTTTCAATTTTAAAGTTATCAGTATAATACAAAAGCAAAGTCTGCGTCACAAGTAGTAACCTCGCATGTCATACAAGGGTAAGGAGTTCAATGCTCTTGCTCATATCCACCTGTTTGCTAAGTTAAAATTGTGGGCTTTCCAAAAGCATTCAAATATCTCACCTGTATCACTCAGCTTGGTCTTCCAAGTATTTTGCAGTCAAGAGCTGTATGAGAATGAAAACTGCTGGAAATTTGCATGCTTGAAACATGTTTCCAACCGGTTTCACTCTGATGGCTTTTTCTACTGGATGGTCCAGCTCTGCCCTTATTCATGCAGTGTTCCTCCTCCATGAACAACCTTCTTTACCAACATAGCACCAGAAAGCTGAAACCCCATACTCACCCTCCACAGTCTTGACGGCGGCAACCAGTCCCAGAAGCAGAGAACCAGTCATCCTGCTATCAATCCAGTATTTACTCCTTACACTCCTACTCTCAGTAAATTGCTCTCTTTTCCAAAAGCGTCTTGAGCTTTGTGGTTTATACTTTAACTCTTCAGGTGAATATAATGAAATATGGCACATCACACATACAAGACTTAAAAAGCATCACTCATTTTTTTCATAGCATAATAAAAAAGGTTCCTTTGGAAACCAATAAACATCTTTACCTACTTTTCCTTGGAGATCCTGGAGCAGGAGGGCCATCTGTGTTGAAGATCATTTCCCTGTGCCTCATCAGCCTCCTGTAAGCTGTTTATGGTCCATTTTCCCTCGTGCTAACTTATCTCAAGCAACCTGAAGTAAGGATCTGGCTGGAGGATGCAAACTGCAGGGATAAGATGAGAGAGGAAAAAGAAAAAAAAAAAGAAAAGAAAACATGTAAAAAAGAAATATATATGGAAGCAAGGAAAATAAATATAGGAACAGGGGAAAAACCCTCAAAGGTGCATAAAAAATTTATAGTTTCAAAACTTTTCTGCTTTTTAAATAAATAACACAAGCAACACACATTAACAAATTGTCTAAGTCCTCATCTTTCAAGTCAGTCAGGAAATTCTTAATAATTCATTTTTGTAAGGAAGACTTTACAAGTCCAAGATGGAATTTCCCAACAAATCAAAGCCAAGACAAGGATAGGAAAAAAATCAGACATGGGTACCAGTCAAGAACATCAAAAATTACAGTCTCATCTACAAATTTAACTAATAGACTGTTTTAGACTGGAGCATAAAAAGGTTCATAGCTCCTCCATAGGACATAAACCATTTTAAGACTAGAATACTTAAGTTACAGGAAAACGTGTCTTAAACGCACCTTAAACAGCTGTATCCAACATGGCAAAGTAACCTGTTAAGCTGGAAACCCAGCTAACCCTAAGAAATGGAAATAATTAGCTTCCTGTTTCTGTGTTTGCTTTTGCAGCCTTTCCCCCCCCCCCCAATTAAATGAACATATGTTTTTCAGTTCCTCCCAAATAATTTTCACTTAACGTTCACACAGAAGGAAAAGCTGGTTGAGGGCTACTGCAGCAAAGTCTTACACAACATCCAGCAGCTTATCCTCTAAGACAGCAATGAGTCGGTAGACTTTGAAAGTTTGGTCTAGCTTGCATGTAAATAGGATCTGGTCTTGAGCAGGGCTAAATACACTGAACTCCTAGAGACTTCTAATTATGAATACGTGAAAATGATCTTTCTTTTTCAATGCTTAAGAACTGCTTTCTCGCTAACACATTTTCATATGCATTCTACTTTGATCTATTTATTTGTCACTCAGCATCAAAGCTGTCAAACCATCTGATAACAAGACAACTGCTCCTTGACATGTTTCAAAGCTGGGGGCGGGGGGAGAAGAGGGGACAAAAATTTGTTCAGAAAAATTTTTGTCAACAAAACTGAAGACATTTGTGAGCTCTGAGGAGAGCATCATGATTATGATCTTACTCAATAAAGAACTAGAATTCTTCTTCACTTAAGGAAATATCAGAAAAACTCTTAAGTCATGTAATGCCAATTCATTTATTTTCCAAGAGTGACAGCTGGATGTTCACAATACTTTTTAGTTGAATCTCCATTCTGAAATTCACAGCAACTTTATGATGCCTTCATAAAGTCATTCATTACATAAGGAAGTCAATCACATCACAACTACTAAGTTGAAAACAAATGGTGTAACTTCACTACTGTCTTATGAGAGTATCTAACCACAGCATACATAAGCTCAACACCAATCCCCTACATCACTAGTAGGCAGTGAGATAGATGCGGTATGTCTCTCTCCACTACTCACCAGCTTATATAACTCTACTTTCTTACAAGAAATAATCGAACTTTTTCCATTCTGAAAGCTTTTTTCTTCCTCATTTTTATTTGCCAGCTTTATGTGTACAGCTGTCCATGTGTACACATGTCCATGGACATGTGTACACATGTCCTTTTGTGTAATGCAAAGCCATGTAGCATACAAAACATTTTGAAGAAGTGTAAACTTCCACACCATACCTCTTCCTTTCTTCTGGATTCTATCACTGTTAGTTCCTGGGGCATATGAGAGAGCATATGCAAACTTATGTTACTATTCCCCTGCAATTCATTTTGCAGAAAGACTGGGGAAACGTTTACAAACTAAAAGGCCTAGTAACAGTCTTTCTCCCTTTGATTTAACAATCAGCTGTGAATGCCCCCCCACCTCTACTCCTCCCTGTGTATCTCAGAAGATGCCATCTGCTTCAGAGTAGAAAAATACATATAGAAGGGAAGCCTCACGCTGCTTGAAACATGATAGATAGGATACCTTGCTCTCCACTTTCTCATTCCATCAACTGAGTTGAACTGGACGAGTGTCTTAAATTTGCAAACATATCAGGAAAAATAATTAGCTAATGCTGTTCACACATGCTGAATATAACTATTTTCACATCAAAGTTTTATTTCTGTCTAACAAAGACCTTGAGCAAACATCCCTAGCGAAAGCGTCTACATAGAGTCAATGTCTGAATATCTGAACGCTGTATTATAACATCTTTATTGCACAGTGATCTTACAGTGACATCAATGACTAATTGCCACAGAGATGAAAGACTGTAATTTGACACTGTTCATTTTAAGCATTCAGAAAAATGCATTTTAGGAAGAAATATAATGCTATAAAAATAAAGTACTGTTTTCCTAGCAGCACTGGGTAAACAGCAATGAAGGCTGAACGTCAGCATAACTTCATAAGAAGGTCAAAATTAATTGCAAAGTAGTTATTAATAAATAAAGAGAAAGATATTATGTCTTAAAGGTCCAGATGTTCAGTAATCTTTCTCTGCTGAAAAGAAACAACTGAAATTTACATTAGCTGATGACCTAACACAGACTTAGTATTCGTGGCGGATTAAAAAACATTTTTGTAATACATAACAAAAAAAAAAAAGGCCATTCCATGCTGATGTGCAGACTCTACATCAACACCGGATAGCCCACTCAGATTAACAGGTTAATTAACCCAGAGCAAACCTTTGTCTGAGGTATGCCTTTAGCGCTTAATCAGAAATCTCTTAAATTAAGTTTATGAATGCATACTAAATCCTTACCATGTAAAAATAAAGAACATCTGCATTTGGAAATTCTCCAACTTTCCTAACTGGTTCCTTTTACAGTTCAGTTTCCCCAGTTATGCTCTTTTATATACCGTATCCATAATTTCACCACATACGTATCAGATACAAGTTCATTAACAAAGACTTTCCACAGAACCGCTATCCTCTACAAGATACACAGGAACGCACATCTATTCTGCTTGATTACTTCCAGTCTAGCTCAAGTGAGATTTTAGGAAGGCCTTAAGAGGAAAGAAGGTAACAAACTTTCAGAGTCAAAGAAGGTAATTTTTTTCAAGAATTCCTTTGGAAAAAAAAATCTTTCAAGAGTAGAAAGACTGGAAGACATTAACCTCTAAGAGATTCATCATGAAAGCTGGCTTAGCGAACTGGAAAAACAAACAAACAAGAGACAAAACTAAAGGAAATCAAAACAAAACCTCCTGTCCCATAACTAAAAATTTCAGGCCTATTTTTACAATATTGAGTTATGAAACGGTAGAAGTCAAACAACATGTTTTAATACGTAAGTCTAACTTAAAACTTTCGGCTAGAGTAACTAAAGAAGTCACGGGAAGCACTAAAAAAAGGCATCCTGAGTATAACGACACTCAGGATGAATGCAGACAGCAGCTCCACTCCAGTATGTGCAATAGCAGAAGACTTTTGAGATAGCATTCTGCAGTCACTAAGAAATGGAAAAATGAGCAAGATCTTGAACAGCCTGCATTGCTACTGAGCCCCAAAAGCTCATGAAAGCTTCTGTGGCCCAGCAGCTGTGGAGACCGTTTATCTCATTGAAATGAGCCTCATGAGAGTGCATTTAATTTAACTCCCTGAAGTTAACACCATTAGAAGATATATTTCCTTGATGATTAAACATTAAATACATCAGTATTTCAAAGCATTTGAAGTAACTTAGAACTAATGAAGGACTAATTGCTTCACTACATGTCTTTATATAACGATGTATAAAAACACCGTGTCAACTGTCTAACGTTAACTTTTGCATCAATGAATTGCACATTTTACAACAGTTACCCATAGTCACAATTAAAACATACGAACGTATTCTTATCATTAGTTTTCTGTTTCAGAGAAACTGAAGTAACTAAGAAAACTTAGTTGACTTTTTTTTCAACTATTAAAGCTGATAATAATTACAGTCATGTTAGACATTAACTCCGTGGCTAGTTGTAGTTACACTGCAATACTCTGGTTTTGATCAAATGTAAATCCACTAATTTCAATTAATTCTTTCTTATTTTTGAAATATCACGGGCAAGATTTAGTCATTTATCAAAACAATAAATACTGAATTCTTTTCAGAAAAGGGGTCTATATATAAAATTACTGCGTAATCATCACCTCAGGTTTCACGGAAATAAGGAATAAGCAGGACTGAAGAGAAGGCACCTTAACCATGTCTTTTACATTCCTTGCTGATGAGAAAGTCTCTGTGCAGCAAATGCAAAGTTGCTATGTAGCAACTGCACAAACACTGTTTGAGACACACTCAGTGAGCAATTCCTGTGAACAGCTGTGCTGAACTATCCGAGTTTCTTAGAGAAATAATTAGCTTAGTTTTAAAAGAAATTTGGGGAAAAACAAGTACAAAGGCAATGCAATAGCATCTCAGAAGCCTCCCAAATATAAGAAAATGGACAATTCCAAGAAAAAGCCTAGGTTATTAGAACTAAAGATGCTACTTTCAGGTTCCAGACTTAAGTTACGCAGATGCTATGCCAAGGCTAGCAAGTCAAATCATGGGGACATTAAGCAGACACTAGAGAGAGTAAATCTAACCATATCCATCACCAGCTCCCTCCCCCAACATAGATACATACATGGAAATATAGACATATATCTACCTACAGCCTCAAATGTATTGTTCTCTGCAATATCTTGTTCTAAAGTTTTAAATCATCTCTGCGAGAAGAAAGCGAGGAACAAGACTGAAGAAAGTGAAATCTATCTCAAGTCATCTGAAATAACCCGAAAAATGTCAGACAAAGGCCTCGTTCCAGTGTGTTAGTGTTTTAACTTTAAAAGAGAATAGCCTGGTACTCCAAAACAAATAGCAGATACGTTCAAAAGCTTAGATGCTAGAAGTCCAAGAAGTTTGAGAAACTTTACTTATCTCCTAAGAAAATATTAATAAGTGGACCCAGCTATTCCTTAGGCTGGTGAGGGGGCTTTGTTTATATACGTGCATGCACAAACACATTTACGCACACATACAA